CGGGCACCCCACTAGAAGGAGAAACACCCTGTAAGCTAAGCTCCAAGCTGGGGCTTCCCCAAGTACAGCTCTTCGGTGCATTGAGGCATGGTTTGTGTGTCTCTCCATTTACAAGGATCATAGTCTTGTGCATTAGACCAAAGTTTCCTCTCTGCGGAGCTACTCATGCTCTCTGTTCCCAGCGCAGCCTCCTCTGTTCCACACTCCTCTTCGGACCGTGCGTTCCCATTTCCCGGGCGCACGATGTGGTGTAGACATCTCCAAACTGCTCAAGGTGCTGTTTGCTTTCTTTGCCTTAAAAAGTGCTCTGCCCCTCTTTGAAAACAGCCTCAGCTGCTTTTTTAGCAGGGTCTGACCTCTTGAGTTCCTCTATTGCTTTTTTCTGAGCATGTCTAGGGGATCATTCTGTGGTTGTATTTACCCCCTTCATTGGATCTCCGTAGCAGGGACTGATTTTAAAGCCTAAAAGCACAACCCCATCTGTCTTGCGCCTCTGGGGCATAGTAAAGAGCCCTGTCCTGCAACCACTGAGCCTGTGAGCGATCTCATTTGCAGAAATGTTTTCGTTGTCCACCAGCCCTGCCTGTGGCAGAATGATGAAGATGGCAGGTTTTAATTCATTTTCCCGAGTGGCCACACTGGACCTTCAGACTTCTGTTTTTGCAGGTGAAACTCGTTCCTCTTCACTGGCCCTGATGTTCAGTGGTTAGATTTTGGGTTTGAAGAGGACAACGTTTCTTGCTGTAGGATTGATTCGTTTGTGCTTTGAGGCGTCAGCAGGTTGCACAAGAGCCTGGGGAGATGCACCTTGGCATCCCTTGGCTGGTGACACTTGGGTGGCCTTGCCCAAAAGGTTGGTGGAATGCTCTCACCTGTGTGCACACAAGGAAGAGAAGGTAAATTTGTCGCTGTAAGGACTGTTCCAGCCTTCCAGCGCCTTGACTGCAGCCTGGTACATGGACAGCGTGCGAATAACCCCCGGGGATATCCCTCCTCTCCCCTTTCGCTGGATGAGTCCTAAGGATAGCTGGGCAGAGGGCTTGAAGGGAAAACCATTCTTCATTGCCCTCTGACCAGTTGGGAATGCTTTTCTTGCTGCCTGGCGTCCCTCTGGGAAGTAAATCAGAGTCGCAGTAGAGGGCGGTGTGTTTGTCCCTGGAGGCCCCTGTCTCCCAGTGACCTTCTCAGCTCATGAAGACAGCTTGGCTTTGCTGTAAAGCAGCTCATGTGACAGTGGTAATCCGCAGCTAGTAAACAGCTGTGCAGGAAGATTGCAGGGGAATCGCCCTATTTTCCCTGCACTGCAGACCCTGGCAGGCCAGCACGCGAGAGCGGGACGGCGGCTTCTGCTTGCTGTGAGAGGCTGCTACCTCCGTGGCTGCGCGAGTCCATCAGCAGGTCGATGCTTTTGAAGCCGCACCAGCCACCGCTGCAGAGCACGCTCGCCAGCTCGGGAGCACACATGTGCTTCTGTGAGTCGATGTGAAGCTGTGAAACAGGTTCCAAGAAGGAAAAAAAAAAAAGAAAAAAAAAAAGCAATTTCTCCTGAAGTGGTTTCTTCTGAATCTTTTCCAAAACCAGAGGTGGCATTTCTAAACCTGAATTTGACTTGTTCCTCCAGCCCCCCATATCCTTTTGCTTAATTTATTCCCTGATGTGTACAAATTCCTTTCTGAGTAACGCTTTCTGATGGCTCATTGGATTCCCTTCTGCTCCACGGGCACTTGGTCACTGGTGGATTTTTTTGCCATCTGCCTGCAGAAAGGTAAAGTGTGCCCTGGAGAAGACATGGACTCTGAGAAGGGAAAGACTGAGGGAGCACTAGTTCTGAATTAGTTTAAAATTAATCCTGGTATTATTTGTTACTCCTGTACCCGGCTTACAGATCGTAGCAAACGTTCCCTCCCGATGGGTTTGCCTCCTTGTTGCCACAAATCCCTGAACTTCCTCATCTCCTTTTTTCCTCCCCATAAGTTTAATCTTCAAAACCTCAAGCGTGTACTGACGCTCAGTAAATGGGAGCTGGTGCTGACGAGTCGGAGGAGCTGATGACAGCTAAAGCAGGCAGTCTTAGACCAAGATCCAAGCTTGTGCAGCCAGAGGTTCCTGCACCACGCAGGCAGCGGCAGCCATAAGCTGCCAGCAATTTGCCTCCGTTCCCTCCAGGAAGGAGGTGGCTTTGGTCAGGTAGGCAGCAAGTTGCTTCGTACTGGTGTAATCCCTCGGTTTCTCTACCAATTCTGCCAGAAACCACTGGCACTGTGTTTGTGGCTTCAGTAAGTTGTCCACCAGTGGCCTGAGACAATCCCTCATTTCATGTAAGCTACAGAACAGCCTCCAGAAGTGGCCATCTGTTACCGCTGGCCTATGACAGATTTGAATGCAAGACCTCGCAGTGAAAGGCTCTCTGCTATTCCCCTGAGCCGGCTGATCTCTTCCCTTCCACCCCTTCCCATCAAAAAAAAAAAAAAAAAAAAGCTTTGTACTCCCAAGCATTAGGGGACTCTAATTGGTGTGTGCACGACAGGACCACTGCATTTAAATGGTGAACGTATAGCTAATGGAAGCTGAGTTTTATTGCTGGCATAAATACAGTACGTTCAACTCCTTTGAAGTCCCAGGGATCAGCATCTGGGGGTGTTTGTGTTCGATTATACACCATCAGTAAATTTGGCCTGTGGTTGTTTCCTGTTGCTCTAACCTGCAGATACATTACCATGTTCTCGGCCAAATCTTCTCACAGGTTCCTGGTACATTTTCTTTGCAAAAAAGGGTCAGAGCCACACTTCCAAATAGGAGTTAAGTGTTAAGAGGTTTGAGGTCCCACAGCAAATTAACAAGACTTGGACTTGGACGGTGTTTAGGCTTTTTCTGCTTGTTTGCCGCTGTCAGAGATGTGCTGTCTCACTTCTGATCTGGATGGATCAGCGGGCTGAGCCAGAGCAGCCGTTCCCGCAGCCAGTGAGCGGGACTCCGGTCTGAATCGTCCCCAAGAGATGCAAAGCAGAAGGGATTCTCCAGCCACCGCAAGCTCCTTGCGCTCTCGAGAAGCGTTTTCCGACCTGTTCTGTCCTGCCCGGGGAAGCGACAGGACAGGCTGTTACACAAGCGGCTGCTTGCTTGAAGTTTTTGTCCACGCGGGTCCGTGTGCCACGAGTCTCCCCTTTGCGGGCCCCTGCGCACCTGGGGTGAGACCCACAAGGAGAAGACACCTGGAAGACCCCTGGTTTCTGCAAAGGGAATGATCATTTTTCTCCCCGCACCTATCATTGCCTTCTCTTGGTGTGCAGAGAGGCTTCCTACCACCCAGCCCAGATGCACAAATGTTCTGTGCCTTCAGTCACCAGGCCAGAGTCCAAGCTTTTTTCTTTTTTTTTTTTTTTTTTTTTTTTTTTTTTTTAATCAACAGATGTGCAGACTTTAAAAGGGAGGAATCTGCCAGAGGCAGTAGCATACCAAGAATAAGTACTCTTGAGAGAGAGAGAGGTAGGAACCCATCCCACCCGCTGCGCAGCCCGGGCAGTGGAAGATGGTGGTGTGCGAAAAAAGGAGGAATGTGGACTGTAAAAACTTGCTCTTTATGTGATACGTTCCATGTAATTCGCCGTGATTTGTTGCTTACCTTGCTGAGGATGTTGGTCCTACACTGGGGGGATAGGGAGGATTTGTGCCAAATAGGTGCCTTGTCCTATAAAGAAGACGGGCTGCAGACACCGAAGCCCTGTGACACTTAATGCCGTTGCAACAAGGGTGTGTGCTGGTGTGGAGCAGGGATGCTTTTATAGGTAGATTAGAAGGGTATGCTTTGTCGAAGAGAGGAAAAAAAAGGACCCTGAAGGTGTGCATCCAGCCCTTTTTTCCCCCCAAGGAATAAAGAAGAGCGCTTACCTCCTTGTAGCTAGTGCAGGAACTAGCGTAAGGTAAGGCTCCAGCAAAGACACCAGAGTTGCAGCTTTCCATATCTGCAAGGTAAAGCTTTGAACGCCTTCCCAAGGCACTGTCGTCCTCCAAAAGCTGCACGCCTTTCTTGGCTGTGGGTTCAGTCGCCTCTCTTGGGTTAAGACCACAATTTCCCCCAGCGAAGAGATGGAGGGGCCGGGAGTGGGGCACTGGGGGAGAGAACCCATCACTTTGGACCCGTTCGTTGGCCATGAATGCGCACTCTGTTGTAGCAGAGAGGCGCCCGCTGAACAAGTCAGTGAAATGCTGGGAAAATGTTTTTTAGATGAAGCCAGGGACTATCTGGTTACGGATTACCTGACGGCCAGAACAATAGCTGCTTTATATCTCCATGTGCTAAATGCTCTGTAGTATATGCTAATGTTCGTGTTCACATGTGATCTATCGCGCAGCGTACGCACTCGTGAAACTCATTGAGCTCCGAGTCTGTCGTAGCCTTAAAAACACATTGAGCTCCTTTCAGAGACCAATGAGGCCAAGCGCCTGGCTTTCATGAACTTTCTAGCCTCGTGCTCTTGGGATACATAGAAATGCCACTTTGGCAGCCATTTCTGCTTCTCATTCATTTCTCATCCCTCATTACTCGGGGAATAGTGGAGAGCTTTATTGGAGGTGGCCTTAGCTTCTCCAAGATGGATTTTACTACTCTCACTTCTGTGCAGCCGTTTCTCATCGGGCCTCTCTGGTCCAATTAAGCCATTGATCTAAATACTTGCAAAATACCATACAAATATCTGGAAGTGTCTTATACTTGCCTCCCACTTACTCTACCTCCCACTTATGCACCTAATGTTCTGCATAGAGGTGGGAATATTTAAGTTACTGTGCCTAATATTGGGGTGTAATTCATATGTGGAATTGAATTTTCTACTCCTATGCGGACATTGAATTTTTTAATTCACCTAGTAAGGAAAAGGATGTATTTCCTCTGAACACATTAATTACCCCACTTATTGCCCCCTTTCTCCCCTCCCCACCCCACCCCCCAACTATAGTATTTGGCCTTTGTTCAGCCTTTTATACTTGCATTTTATTGTCAGGCTTCCTAACAGCAGACTATTCAGGCTGCAAGTGGAGCCTAGCAGAGAGTTCATCAGGTGAGTGGATTTTTGTGGTGGTAGTTTGGAATAATGGGATTTAGCTGGTATTGCCCCTTGTTCCTTTAGGTTCCTGACTATGTGGTGTTTCTTGGGGTTAAAGGGGCTATGTCTATCTGTCTTTTTTTTTTTTTTTTTTTTTTTTCCTGACTCCTTTCACGCTTTCAAGGGGAAGGTATGAGACATCGGAGATATATTTACATCCAGGCATCCTGTAACGGCTGCCTCAGCCGCTGCTCTGTGCCTGGACACTGTTTGGGCTGCGGGGTGGAGATGCGCGTGCCCCTGGGGTGTGCTAATATCTTAGAGCCCGATCCCGTTAGCCTTAAGCAAGCGGCGCGCTCTCGTAATTGTTAATTACGTAAAGAATTAGTGAGGAGCAGGACAGAGCTGGGCTCAGAGCCTGTATTTTAATAACACTCAAGTTGCGGTGCTGTGGTGGTGGATGGGGTTGTGGGGATGTTGTGATTTTTGGATTTGTAAAATTTGGCTTTTTAAATGTCATGGACACAATGCAGAGTTAAAGCAGCAATGCAAAGGAAGGAAAACCCCACAAATACACTTTCAGCACCCGTCATCTTTAAGAAACTATAGGCTGAACGTTGTAGCAGAAACCTAAGTAGAGAAGTAGGCTGTCCTGTGTGTCACCCGGCACTGGGGGGTAGGTACAAGAGCTTGGGTGGGTGTCACTGCGGTCGCTTCTGCCGGCTGAAGCTCACCGGCTGGACTGTGGACACGCCTGTCTTTTGATATGCAGCTGCATTCCCCTTGCAGGCTCTTTATGATTTGCAAGGATGCCCAGAGTGTTGCTCCCGCAGAAACTCTGCCAAATAATTATCTACTTCATTAGAATATAAGCTATTTCAGTGCTTAAAAAAATATAATTCAGTTCAAGTGACTTCATTCTAAAATAGAGTTTCGTCACCCATGTAATATAACATATTATCAATTTTAGTTAGTACCCTGCCTTCATTCTCACAGTAACCTTTAATAAGACCGTATAGAAAATACAGGACCCTAAAGGATAAGAATCGGTCTCGATATGCAGTTCTTCCCCTGGAAGAGCCCCCATGGATGTTAAGAGCATGGCAGGCAAGTCAGTAAAGCGTTATGGCAAAATGTAATAGGGATCCCTATTGTCCAGAAGCTTTAAGGTGCTGTATTGCCCGCCTGTCCAATCACTGGTTTAATACCTGATTTCTCATAAGAGAAGGAGACGCTAATTTATTTTTAGGTGTTTCCTGTCTCTGCTTTCTAAGAAGCTTTGCACTGATAACACCTGTCTGCTCCATCTTTTTTATTAACAGAAAACAGATCGTAAGGAAAACGAATCCCAACTTGAGCAGACATTAGGGGTTGCTGTACTTTCTCTATTTTTAACTGTGTTTCCTATATACATGATTGACCATGATAGACTGCTAATCTTATCAGGTGTGCCCTTCACTCCACAGCAAAGCCAGCCGATCAAGGAAGCTTAGAAGGGTTATTCGCTAAGCTTTCGTCTGTGGAGTCTGGTAAAAAAGCTTTCTTTTCACAGGTAGACACATACACCCCTCACTTGTTTGTCGCCTTTCCTGCACCCCAAATTGGCTTGGGTTTAGAGTGACTTACCCTGGGGACCCAGCACTGGTGTGTGAGGTCTAGGTAAGAACGGAGCTTGAACAGACACAGCTTTATTCTGCCTCAGCCAATGTCCAGGCCCTGTTATCAAGCTCTGAATTCATCCCCAACACCCCATGAAGGGGTGAGGGAGGGGCAGGTAACCTTATGTAAGACACAAGGACTGAAGGCATGAAGCTAATCCACCGTCAGGATACCAGACTGCTGCTTTGCCTTCTTTCCCCAGCACCCTTTCCGTGGGAGTTTTCAGCTACATCAGAATGAGGATGAAACGGAAGACCCGGCATTTCAGATTAATTGTTTCCAACGCTAAAAATAATTGCAAGTTTTCCTTATGTTACTATCCTCGCTGCAAATGATTGCAGATGGAAGACTTCTGGTATGCCAGGAAAGGGCTGCAAAGACAGAGGTGCATGGTGGCTGTGAAGTGTCCATCGGTGAAGGAGACATTTGTCACCGCTGCTTGAAGATTATGGGTCCTTGCTGTGCCAGGGAGGAGTCTGGGTATCAGGTTGGCTCACTGGGGTTTTCCTCTTTCCATGGAAATGCTGGGGCTTCAGAGGAGATAATTCCATGAGCATAGCTGGGTCCCTGTCTCTATGCCTCTTGGTAGATTGGGCTGTCCCCTCCAGCAACAGAGACTCCTATATATCAGGAATCTCAGCTCCAGTGTTTTAGTCTCAAAGTACTGCAACTTAAAAACAACTCCAGAAAAACCAACCCAAAACAAACCCCAAAAAATCAAAACCCCCAACCAAAAGCTTTGGAATCATCTTCAGGGATCTTGTTAGTCATTTGACAAGGGAGAGTGGTGTCCTCTAGGTCATCTCTCTGGGATGAAGAATTGGGCTTGTGTATTCTCTTGGATTGTATATCGAACAAAGTGGGAGGTGCAGACCCCCCCCCCCTGCCGTGATCTGCTGAAAGGAGCCACAAGTAAGCGGATGGTCCTTTTGTGGGGATGGATTGCCTTCCTCTGCCGCAGAGGCAAAGGTAAAAGACCAAGACATAAGGGAGATCAAGCCATAGGCGTTTCAGATCTTGGCTAAGCTGTGACCCTTCCCTCTTTGTAGAAAGGAAGAAAATAGAAACGTATCAAAGATGCTAATGCAATGAGCTGTCCTCCTGCGGCTAGAGAAGGAAGGTTGGTCACCAACCAAGACTTGGGGATAAATAAAAAACAAACATCCAACCTTGGGTTTTAAAACAACACCTTGACACAAAATACCAAGCATCTAGCAGTCTTTGCTGAAGCTAAATGAGTGGGAGGAAGAATGAGCCCTATAAGCCTGGAGTTGCATCCTGGCCCGTGCCTTTCTGATGATGCAGGGCTGGAGGTCCCAGATCAACCAGGCTTTATGGGGTTCACTGAGACAGCAGCTCCTGTTGCTCTGAACAAGCAGAGAAGGAAATCTCATTGAAACAGAACAAGAGGAGCCAAGGTTAAGGAAAGAACAAATCACTGGCAATATTAAGCAGGTAGGTGACGCACAGGGACAGTCTGAGAGGCTCAGTTGTGATCATGAAGATGGGGGTGGATGCAGGGAAGGAAATAGTGGCTCCGGACCTGTCCTTCCTACATCCCATGCCATTTTTGATGGAAATGTTGCATCTTGTTTTGTCTCCTGTGCTTATCTTCTGTTCTAAGGAAAAGTCAAGGCTATGAGGTAACCTACTAGACTGCAACACTCGGTTTGGCGCTCCATCTGCGAGCTGCCGCGACTCAACGTTGCTATCAAAACTTGAGGTGCCTTGTTACATTTCTCTTCGTTGTGGTTCTGACAGATGATGGATGATCTTGAGGTACACTTGTGGTCAGCAAGCAGAATAAAGACTGCAGCTTTTTTTTCAAATTATCAAAGTTTGGTGGCACAGTTTTTGTGTTTTGAAATGAACGGCACCGAGGATGTATAGGGAAGGGCCGTGACACTTGTGTGCCTGGAAAGTTCTCAGAGCTGGGTTCTCATTGCATGGGTTTTTTGTGATTTGTCAGTAAGCCATTTCTGGTGGTGAAAATCCTTCCAATTATCATCTTGTCCTAAGAGACATCTAATTTGAGTTAGACCCTGATGCTCTAGCGGTAGCTGGGGGGAGAGAGAGAGGGGGGCATGCTTTCAGAATACAGTTCGTCTTATCTTAAAGTAGGTGCCTGTGTTAAGAGATGTCTTCTGCTTCCTTTGTCACCATTGAGTGTGGTAGGATTCCTGAAATGCCTGATTTCTGCAGTTGACTTTGGGTGAAATCCCACCCATGGTGTCATGTCAACACCTTGTATCTGAAGGGACAAGTTTAGTTTGCGGATGTGTCTTCTCTATGGTCAGAGGATTTTTCAGGGTAACACGTGACTGTAAGAGCGCTTGTTTTAGCTGGTGTGATTTGAGCTTGTTACAGAGATCTGGTTTGTTTTTCTGAAAATACACGCTCATGCCCATTGCTTGTCCTTCCCCTCTCTTGAAGGCCTCTTGAGTCAGTCCCCCAAAAGGAAGGTGGTCAAGATGATGATTTCTGGGAATCTCGGCAAGCCAGGTTGGCATGCAAAGTAATGTGGATTTAATAAACATCTGTGATGGGAGCTCTTAATGTGCACAGTGAACAGTGCTCTTCTCTGTTAGCAGTAACACCCCAGGTAGTCTCCAGCTCTGCAGTTACCTGGCTTGGTGAGGATCGGGATGGTCTTTGCTCCAGGATTTAGTTGAAGGATGCAGTTGCTCTGTAGTTATTTAAGTACTGGTGGTTGTCCTACCTTTCTTGTAGGCAATGATACCTGCCACCTTGCCAGAATGCGTGTTACTGCACACAACTGGGCAGAGTTGCTCAATATCCTGTTTGTATGACCGTCCTTTCTAAAACCGGTAGCAGTGAAGCGTAGTAGGGTCCCTCCTGTTTTGCCATGTTGCTAAAAGGAATTATACATGGCTGGGAGAATGAGGTATATCCCGTGGTTGACTACAAACCAAGTTTACTGTCAAGAAATACCTCTAGTGCCAACTGATTTGTCCAGTATGTCCTAGAGCTGTCTTGGATTTGCTTATTGGTGACTCTACCATCAGTGGACCAAAACTTCTTTACATAAAATGGAGCCTGCAAAATCTTGCTCATGTACCAGGCTGAAAGGAATTCAAGTGATCGCCTACACCAGCCCCTCGCCTGAGCTAATGTCGGTCTTAGCTGTCTCTAAAAGACCTCCAGTGATGGAGACTTTGCTCCAGAGCTTCACTAACCTTATGCTTAGCAGTTGTCTGTTTGGGTGGTTTTTTTCCCCTCTACTAACTAGTGTAACTTTCCATGCTGTACATCATTTATTCTGTCCCGCTCTGTAAAAGATGATCAGGTTATTCCCTTCTTATCTGCATCAGTCTTGATGTATTTATGGGTTATCC